AGTGGAAAATGAAAATCACTGTGACTTTGTAAAGCTCCGGGAAATGCTCATTTGTACAAACATGGAAGATCTGCGAGAACAGACCCACACTAGGCATTATGAACTTTACAGGCGTTGCAAACTGGAAGAAATGGGCTTTACAGATGTGAGCCCAGAGAATAAGCCACTCAGGTAACAGGGGATTTCTGTGAGAAGCCAACCAAAGAGGAAGTTAGAGAGGATTGTACCTTGTTATATATCCAGGATGTTGGAGAATGTGGTTTTCAGAAATCTGGCAAACCATGAAGTAGAATCATTTGCTTATGATTAATTATTGTGCTTCTCAGATCACTTGAGGCCTTCTTGCTTTTGAAGGGTCTCTAATACCTCATCTGACTCAAAGAGTTTAAGAAAGAACATAATGGGGCGCCTGGGTGGCTCAGTTGTTAAGCATCTGCCTTCGGCTTAGGTCATGATCCCAGGGTCCTGGGATCGAGTCCCACATCGGGCTCCCTGTTCGGCGGGAGACCTGCTTCTCCCTCTCCCACTCCCTCTGCATGTGTTCCTGCTCTCGCTGTCTTTCTCTCTGTCAAATAAATAAATAAAATCTTTAAAAAAAAAAAAAAAGAACATAATGGCAGAAGCCCATTATCTCAATACATGCTGAAATGAATAACTAAAGGAAAGAACTCTCATTATTTGGTTTTATGTTGTATTTTTCTGAAAAAGATAAAAGCATATTTATCTGTTCTTCTAAAAGAAAGTTTGAATGTGAATCATATTAAACCAAAAACAGAACAACCTTGGTTTTTATCTTGATGAAAGTTTGAAATTAGTTAAACTTAGGAAAATGTCTTATAAAGGAAGAATGAAAGTGCTTGCAGGGAGTCAGAGATTAGACTGTTTCTTAAAATATTACAGGGTACTTGTAAGAATTTTAGAGCCTGATGACCTTCTTGTTCAGTAATTACAGCATTCAGTGTTATAAACTTGCTGGGTAATTTTATGTACTGCCACATTCCTGACTTTTTTTATTATTAAGGTATGTAAACATGAAACTCTAATCCTTAACCTACTACATCAAATTTGATTTGATGTAACATTCCAGAATAGTTTTTGCATGGAGGAAAGCATGAGATCTTTAGGCAAAACACTCTTTAAAACTCTGTTGTGGAACTAAGGATTTCTTTTCTATTTCATTATTTGTATTTCTGTCATTTCCCTGACTGTTAGTATTTGTAGTAGAGTAAACACAAAAAGAAGGAGAAGGAGAACATTAAATCAGTGCTGCCATTGCATATGACCTTTGGGAAGATTTAATAGTAGATGAGGTTAAATTTTTAAATTTTTTAATCTATGGATTTAATTAGTGTTTTCGCTCTAGTAGTATGATAAATTAAGAATTATATGTACTTAACCCCTCCTCACCAATTCATGCATGCTATGCTTTTGATGACAGGCCAATCTGATAAAATTATTTTCTCTATTGAAGATTTGGCTTCGCTAGTGTTTCCCAGAGGAGGCTTACTTCTCATTCTTTCAAATTTGAGGGTCAATTCAGAGGTCTCAATGTACATTACTAAGACATGAATCCTGAGTGAGAGCAAGTGGGACAGCCTTGAAGTACTCTGAGAAGAGGGATTCAGGTTGCCTGGTGGGTCAGTCATCAGGCATCTGTGGAAGATTAAGAAATGTGGGTTCAGAATTTCCAGGGATGGAGCCCAAGAATCTGCATTTAAGTTAAAATTTCAGTCATTCAGTAGATATTTGCTGTTTGTCTCCCATTGGTTCCACACACTGCTAGTCAGTGGTATGTAAGTACTGTGGGATTAAACAGAAACTCTACCTTACAGAATTTCTGGGATGGAGGTGGGAGGAGGACACTCTGGCCCTTTGTGGAAAATAGAGTCAGGGTGCTGCTACAGTAGTCCTGGTGAGACCATAAAGGCTTGGGGTAGAGTGGTAGTGTAGAGGTGGTCAGAAGCACATTTAAGACATCTAATTTGAAGGTAAAATTCATAGGACTCATTGATGGTTTGGATATGGGATGTAAAGGACAGAAGAATCAAGGATGACTCCAGTCACTGAAAAGTGACCTGAATTTGGCTGAATGGTGGTAATGTTTACTGATATGAGCAAGACTGGGGAAAGGATAGATTTTAGGGGTTATGGTTGATAATTGAGAGGTTTTGGACATGTTAAATTTAAGTTGCTTATTAAATACTACAGTGAAGAGACGCCTGGGTGGCTCAGTGGGTTAAACATTCAACTCTTGGTTTCTGCTCACGTCATGATCTAATGGGTCGTGGGAACAAGCCCTGCGTTGGGCTCCACACTCAGCGGGGAGTCCGTTTGAAGATTCTGTTCCTCTGCCCCTCTGTCCACTCATGCACGCACATGTGTTCTCTCTCTTTCTTTAAAATAAATAAATAAATCTTTTAAATAAATGAATATTCCAGTGAAGAGTTTCAGTAGGTTATTACATAAATGAATCTGGCACTTAGGGAGAAGTTAAGGCTGTGATGATAATTTGAAAGTCAGCAGTGAATAATATGAAAAATCATAAACATTTTTCTTTTTAAAGATTTTATTTACTTATTTGACAGAGATAGAGCCAGAGAGCACAAGCGGGGGGAATGGCAGAGGGAGAGGGAGAAGCAGGCTCCCCACTGAGCAGGGAGCCTGATGTGGATCTCCATCCCAGGCCCCTGGGATCATGACTTGAGCCATCCAGGTGCCCACAAATCATAAACATTTTAAAAAGTGTCTCCTATTTGCAAGGCTCTGGGCTAAGTGCTGGGGATGTAATAGGAATAAGATCCTATAGATCTGGCTGTCATGGAGATTACATTCTTATAGGGGAGGCCAAAATCAAATTGCACAATTAATCACAATTGTGAAATGTGCACTAAAGGAGAGATGGTATATAATGGGGGAGGGTTTCCTGACTTAATCTGGAAAATTAGAGAAGATTTTCTTGAGGCAGTTACTTTTTGAGCTAATAATTTGGGGAAGTCAGAGCAAGACATGAAAAGACTGCAAGCAGAGAGAGAATGACATCTTCAGAGCTCTGTAAGAAGGTCAGTGCAGCTGGAGAGCAGACAAGTTGGGGGCATAAGATTGAGAGAACAGGTAGGCAGGAGTCAAACTGTGGAGGACCTGGTTGGGATTTGGGCTTTGTTTCAAGGGAAAGGCAAAACCATTCAAGGAGTTATCATACCATATTTGCATTTGAAAAATCACTTTTAGCTCTAATGCAAAGAAAGTATTAAAATGGTATGCAAAGATGTTTAGGAGACACGAGTAGGAGAGTATTGCTTGGATGAAAGCAAAAGTGGTGAAAATAGAACTGGGTGTGTTTGGGACATATCTAGAAGATGAAATTGAAAGAACTTAGTGACTGTTTGGATATACTGAGGTAAAGAAGCAGGAAATGCCAGAAGATGCTGCTAAAAAGAAAGACTTCTAGTTTCTGGGTATTATGGTTTCATTGGCTAGGTAGATGGTTGTACCTTTCCTCGAAATAGGTATCTCTGGAAGGACTGGCTTTTTTGTGGAGCAGCAGTGCTGGGCATGATGGAGCATAAGCTTGGTTTGGGACCTGCTGACTTGAGTTTCCTCTGAAACATACAAGTGACAATGTTGAATAGGCACTTTGGGTATTTTTCTGGAGCTCAGAGGAGAGGGCTGGGCCAAAGGAATGAACTTAAGAGTCATCAGCATTTAGATGGCTAACTGAATGTTTGAATATGGATGAGATTGCCTGAAGAGAGAAGTACATCTGAAAAGAAAGGTGCCTTGGAAACAGACTTGAGTCACTCTAATATTTGTCAGCTGGAGAAGCAGACAGAAGAGACTGAGAAGCCTTGGGTAGAGGAAGGAGGAAAACCAGCAGTGACATGTCTTGGAAGCCAAGTGAAGAGAGTTTCAGGAAAGGAGAGGTCAGCTGTGTTGAAGCTAAGGATCAGGTTCTTGCTATAGAAGTACAGCAGTGTAATACATTGCAGTTGCTTCCTTTACAGCTCTTTGAAAATAAGACAAAAAGGGCAGTAGTTCTATGGAAGGCTACATCAGCTAAGAATTACAGATTCAAAGAGAAGACTTAGAACAGGTAAAAACCAGTTTCATTCTATGCTGGGAGTGGAGTGAATGAACTGAAACCATTTCCAGCCTTTTTATTCTCTGCTTGACAATTTATAGTCTAGTCCAGTAGGCCTACCTTAGGACATGTACCCTTGTCTTGGCCGGAGTGGGCATGAATCTAATAAATTTTCCCACCAGACTGTATCCCCAGGGGGAAGAGGTAGCTCTCCAAAAGGTAATCAGGTTAACAATACCAAAGGGAAGTATAGGTAGATGGTGGGCATTCAGAATCAAAGATTGCTTAGAACATCCATTTTTTTGAGCATTTCTTCAGTTCGGGAAGCATCTGCTCACTGATCAAATGAAGAATGGAAAATTGGAAAAAGGAGGTTCTTCAGTCTACACCAGGTAACAGATTGGGTAGGGAACAAGCAAGAAAGGATGGGGAACTAGATCTCAGTGTCAGGGAGGCCTCTGCCTGCCTGAGTCTTCTACCCTTCCTAGGCTGCTGTCCTTAAGAGAGAAGACATTTTTTACTGGATTTCTTGAATCAGGCATGGCAGAATGTTTCTTCTCCTGGTGTTTTCTTATTTGTGAATAAATTATTTGGTAAAGTTTCTATAGTTCATTATAGCTTGATGTCTTAGGAAGGTTTTACAGTTTCAAGAAGTTACATTCTATTTTCTGGGCAATATTTCCCATTTAATTTGGGGTGTACCTAACAGTAGTCACTATGGTTTGGTTGGCATGTAAAATCCATCCCTCAATATTATATCTATCAATTAAAAAAACAGTTATATGAACATGTTAGGATAACTTTTATTTCTCTTTACTACCCAGTCCTCTACATTGCCAGACCTTCAGCTTGTTTTCCATTTACATTTTATTGTGAACAGTTATGCTGAGTTGTAGTTAGTGTCTTAATCTCTCAACACTATTCATGTGCTTATCATGAGGTCCCAGTAAATGGCATTATACTCTCCTCTAGTCTTAACTAACTGATCTTTAATTATTTAAGCTAGATCAGAAATAACTGATAAACCTTCTTAAATCCCTAAGTTATTTTAGATTAACATAACCATTCTCATTCCAACAGTTAATCATCTTTAACGTTTGAGTATAAAATCACTGCCATTTGAAGTGTCGAGGGACCTATAGTTTTGAAAGGAAGATTTTTGTAGTATTTTAGAGTTGCTTAAGTTTGACATAATTTTTTTTGTGTTGTAAAATTTGTATCTTTGAAACTCTCAAGAAATAAATAACTTTCTGCATTTAGTCTACAGCAGAAATGGAAAAAGTTCAGCAGGCTTTTAAGAACTGTATATGAAACACAAAGAAGTCCTAAGTGAAGGGACTGCAGTGATTTTCTTGATGAATATGAGCAT